TAAATTAATAATTAATAATGTTTGTTCTTCACATATACAGTCAGATAGAGGTGTTTATACATGTTTAAGGTATCTGGATAAAGATGTATTCAAAGAAAGTAAAAGAAAATTTATTTTTGCAGATTTATGATTTGGACGTGACAGTGCCTGGCCTGAAAAAAGACACACAAACCATCAAGACCAGGCTTCTTCCTGGTAAGACTATTTTTACTCTGTGTGTGGTTTACTTTACCATGTAGGGGTCTTCACATTTAACGATTGATTCTGTGTACATTGTAATATCCACTTGATTTTTTTTTTTTTTTATGTGAACTGAAATAATTTCACTAAAAGTGTTTTTTGCATCCATGACATTGATCAACACTATCATTAGTAAAGTTTAAGCATGCTTCTGTTAGCTTTAGCCACATGCTGTGAACGTAATCTTTTTAAGGAGTCAGGAGAAGAATGATTGACTTTTCAACAAGTCTGAAGACCAAAACTATTAGCTGTAAATGTTAGGGTTAGTATCAATATGCTGTGTTAGCATGCTAATATCTCTCCACTTTAAAAAAAAAAAATGCACATGCACAACCCTTTACCCGCTCCTGAGAGGGAACGCCTATTAAACATGTGAACAAGCCCATTTCTTCACATGCACGCTTTGTTTAAAAGTTGCTGTTTGCATCACTCATACAAGCTTACATTTCAAAAGAAGATATGCAATTTTTTTCTGTAAGCCTGACTCACCACCAGTAAGTGAAAATGAGAACAAGCACAAAAAAGATGAATGGCTTTACGTAAACATACAAGAATGATTGACAATTAGGAGGACCACTTATTTTGATGATCCACCCAGAAAAAGAACATCCTTCACGATACCTTTAAAGTGGGAAACAAACGAAAAACTAACTGAATTTATGAGATTGTGACTTACTTTTGTTGATGATAATATTAAAATGTGAAGAAAAAAAAAACGTACAAGAAAATCATAGAAATTATACAAGTGGGGTTGTCACAGGGTTTGTTCGCCTAATAGCTTCCAGTTGAATACATGGTAATACCAGCGATGCCTCACAACCATAGAACATTTAAGTGATTTGGTTTGATTTAAAATGGAACTTAATGGACAGTAGAGCATCTAAATCCCATTGCTTATGCTTTTGGGCCCATTTGTTTTGTGATTAGTTTGGAGAGAAGCAGAGGTTGTGGGAGTCTGGCAAGCTAGCGGTTTTTTGGACAGCCTGCTAAAGCCTGGAGCTGCTCCGACTGTTATTAATTTAACTGCCTGTAGGCTGAGCTATGCTGAACAGCCAACACACTCTGACAGCGGGTCAGCATTAACAATATGCCATGATGACGGGGTACAAACATATTCTAATCAGGCAGAGCAGAGACGGTTAAAGTTGTGTTGGTAGGTACTATATCATTAACTACCCCCCTAACACAAAAATAAACATCCATTTCTAAGGCTTAGTTCTCCAACTTTATTCCTATTCAAGCCTCTTNGTATCAGTCTGGATAAAGATGTATCCAAAAAAAGTAAAAGAAAATGTATTTTTGCAGATTTATGATTTGGACGTGACAGTGCCTGGCCTGAAAAATCACACACAAACCATCAAGGCCAGGCTTCTTCCTGGTAAGACTATTTTTACTGTGTGTGTGGTTTAATTTATCATGTAGGGGTCTTGACATTTTAACGATTTATTCTGTGTACATTGTAATATCCACTAGAATTTTATTATGTGAACTGAAATAATTTAACTACAAGTGTTTGTTGCATCCATAACATTGATCAACACTATCATTAGTAAAGTTTAAGCATGCTTCTGTTAGCTTTAGCCACATGCTGTGAACGTAATCTTTTTAAGAAGTCAGGAGAAGAATGATTGACTTTTCAACAAGTCTGAAGACCAAAACTATTAGCTGTGATTGTTAGGGTTAATACCAATATGTTGTGTTAGCATGCTAACATCTCTCCACTTTAAAAGCCTTTACCCGCTCCTGAGAAGGAATGCCTATTAAACATGTGTCGCTGTTTGCATCACTCATACAAGCTTACTTTCCAAAATAAGATCAGAAATTTTTCCGCTATGTTAGACTCACCATTAGTAAGTGAAAATGAGAACGTGCATAAAAAAGATGGATGGACTTATGTAAGCATATCAGAATGATTGACAATCAGGAGGACCATTAATTTTGATGATCCACCCAGAAATAGAACATCCTCCGCGATACCATTAAAGTCGGAAACAAACGAAAAACTAACTGAATTTACGAGATTGTGACTTAGTTTTATCGATAATTATATTACAAATGTTAAAAATATAAACATACAAGAAAAAACGTAGAATTGCTTTTTAGGCATTGTAGAGATTGATGACCACAGGAATGATTTCCTGTGGCGCTCTGTGGTGCATCTGGGTAAAAGGAGTCTTCTGCTGAAGGAGCTCGTCTGCTGGACCAGTGTGTCCTGGAGAGGATGTGAGTCATTGTCTAAGATGGACTGAAACCTGGACAGCATCCTCCTCTCTGCCACGGTGGTCAGACTGTCCAGCTCCTCCCCCACAACATCAACGGCCCTCCTGATCAGTTTGTTCAGTCTGTTGTTGCCAGCGACCCTCAACCCACTGCCCCAGCATGTGACAGCAAAGAAGAACATGCTAGCAACAACAGACTCATAAAACAGCCTCAGCATCGTCCCACAAATGTTAAAAGACCTCAACCTCCTCAGGAAAAATAGTCAGCTTTTGCCCTTTTTGTAGACCGCCTCAGTGTTTCTAGTCCAGTCCAACTTATTGTTAAAGTACACTCCCAGGTACTTATACTCCACAACAGTGTCAACAGGAACCCCCCGGATGGAGGCAGGAGTCACAGGTGTTTTTGACCTCCTCAGATCCACTATTCGCTCCTTAGTCTTTGTCACATTGAGCTGCAGGTGGTTCAGCTCACTCCCAAGTTGCCCACCACAGTCCTATATTCACTCTCCTCACCCTTTTCAATGCAGCCAACAATTGCTGAGTCATCAGAAAACTTCTGAAGGTGGCAGGACTCAGTGCAATACTTGGGAGGGGAGAAAGGGAGGGGGAGAGGACAGTCCCCTGAGGGGCCCCATTGTTGCTGACCACCCTGTCAGACACACAGTTCTGTAGGCGTACATACTGTGGTCTGCCCGTCAGGTAATCAACAATTCAGGATACGATGGGGCCTCCACATGCATCGCAGTCATCTTCTCACCCAGTAGAGCCTGGCGGATGGTGTTAAAGGCACTGGAGAAATCATAGAACATGATTCTCATAGTGCTCGCCGGCTTGTCCAGATGATTGTAGACTCTGTTCAGCAGGAAGATGATGCTGTCCTCAACTCCCAGGCAGGGCTGGTAGGCGAACTGTAGTTCACCTAATATCTCTAAGGCTTAGTTCTCCAACTTTATTCCTATTCAAGCCTCTTTTTAAACACACATTTTTATGACTCAAGCAGTAGCCAACAGGATGAACATATATACTAACTATAATAACATATCTCTACAGCCCAGGGTCCCTTAGCCACAGGCTCCCACAGCAGCTCCAAACATGCAGAGAAATGGTCTATTTCTTACAGTGATTCCCAATTTCCACAACAGGCAGTCAGGTTCTCCTAAGGTCAGAGCTCTCCCTCACTATCCCGTGGATTTATTCCTAAAATGCATTTACTGGTCGCTCCAAGGTTTTTCAGAGACAGCTTGGCCACCTCCAAAATCTCCACCTCTTTGCACAGCAATCTAAATGTGTAAAAATTCTTAATGTGCAAACCGACGCGCAGTACGTGGTCGAGATTAGCCTCCTAACGGTAGATGGACTCTGTTAATGTGGGCACTGGTGAACAGCAGCTACAACATGTAGAATTGCTAACCTACTCTGTCCCAAAATCATGAACAAATTGGAAATCCCACCATCGATATAGCACAATCTATCTGCTACCTGTGATTTGTTATGAGTCTTGGCACACGCTTTGCCACAAAGTATGTCGGCTCGATGGATAGCAACGAATAGTCAGCTCAACAGCTGCGTCATCTCTCCTTCTCATGCAGCAAATTGGCTCAAAAGCATAAGCTATCTGATTTAGATGCTCTAGTGTACTTTCAGTTTGATCTTCCATCATACCAAATTTCGTAATTGTTTCACGGGAATGAGGTATAGCTGGTATTACCAGTACGTTCAACTGGACACTACAGAGCGAACCAATCCTGTGATGTCACCGTATAGAGAACTGCAACATGGCTCCGTCCCTGACAAAAAATCATATATAGTACTACATTTTATAATTGGTGATAATGGTGAGACACAATCTCGTGAAATAAGTTGGTTTGGTTAACTGTCTAATTTCCACTTTAAGCTTGTTACATACTCTTCAAGTACTGAGGAATTTGTTCTTTCTTTCTTTTTTTGCTTCCTGTCTGTAATTTATTACATGTTTAAATATTTCAGGCAACCCACATTCCCTTCATGTGAAACCTAACCCAGTGAAAGTGGAGAATGGAAACCCTGCTAGTTTCAGTGTGGAAGTTCATGATGAGGCTGGAAACATCACTGCCAACCCCAGACAAATGGTTCGCTGCCAGGTATGAGATGATCATATGTGCGATTATACAAACAATTTTAGAAGCAATCCTACTCACAAAAAGCTAAGGAACCTTTTATTAAAATGTTATTTTGCAAAAGAAATACTTTTGGAGTTAGCTTTGGCTGTCTGTAAAAACTCATACTCATTGTCTTCCTCTTTATCCGGGACCGGTTCGAGGGGGCAACGGTCTCAGCAGAGACTCCCAGACTTCCTCCGCAGACACCTCCTCTTGCTCTGCTTGGAGAAGCCTGAGGTGCTCCCAGGCCAGCTGAGAGACATAGCCCTCCAGCGTGTCCTGGGTCATCCCCTGGGCCTCCTCTCAGTGGGACATGCCTGGACCAGCTCCTGCCTTGGGGGGCATCTGAAAAAGATGAGCCACCTGAGCTAACTCTTTTTGATGTGGAGGAAAAACGACTCTTCTCCGAGCCTCCCAAGTGACCGAGCTCCTCACCCTTTCCATAAGGGAGAGCCCAGCCACCCTGCGGAGAAAGTTAATTTCAGCAGCTTGTATCCGCAATCACTCGGCTCTCTCTTTACCACGACAGACCGGTGCAGCATCTGCATTATAGCAACCGTCGCTCTGACCCTTTTTATTGGTCTCCTGCTCCACAGGAGCCCAAGAACTCCTTTGCTTGAGGTAGGAACTCTCCTCCAACCTGAAGGAGAAAAGCCACCTTTTTCAGGTCAATTACCATGGCCTTGGACTTGGAGGGGCTGCTTTTCATTCTAGCCGCTTCACACTAGGATGCAAACCTCCCCAGTGCATGCTGTAGGACTTGGCTGAGGGGAGCCAGCAGAACCACGGCATCTGCAAATAGCAGGGACGAATTCTGCTGGTCCCAAACAGAGAGACCCTCACTTTTCCACAACTTGTCCCTCTAAATGATAAATGTAGTGGGTTTTAATCTCTGGCCTACCACACCAATGACCTGAGGGTAACCCTTTAGGCAGAGTGGAATTCCCTGTCTAAATAGACAATAAATCAACTTGTCAAACAGCATGAGACATTGTGGTTTAAAATGATTTAATGATGCTCAATGACAAACTAGTTATGTTGCCTGAAGTTTTTACAATTTTCATTCATCTCATTTTAAGTGCAGATATCCTGAACTTTTTAAGAGTCAGGAATTTACAGCCGAACTATCACCACGTCATTTAATGGATTTTGTTTAGGCTGACTATAATAATGCATTTAGAAAATATACCTTTTAGTGCCCTACTAACTGAAACAGGTCTTATATTTGTTTATGATGTTCCTCTTTTCTCTTCACAGTGTATTTAGGACAAAATTTGATGGAACCCATTGCATTTTGATCAGGGATCCTTTAAGAAATGAGTTGTTTGTCCCGCAAAACATAAACTTTTTTTTTTCTCTTAGATTCCAGGGCTTCAGTTAGTGTCATCGGACTGCAGCAAAACAGGAGCAGGCCAGATTGTGACACCAATTGTGAACGTGAAAATTATTGATGGAAAGCCACAAATACTCAATGCACACTTTTCCATTTTTGTAAGTTAAGGAAAATTGTTCTAAGATGAAAAACTCAGATTACAGTTTCACAGTTATGTTCTTCAGCTATTTATTTTTTTTGTCATAGAGTCACAACGATGTTCCAGACGTCACAGTTGAGATGAAGGTTGTGCCTAGCAATCGAATCTCCAGGATGGAGCTGTTCTCTCTGGTAGAGGAAAAATTGGAGCTGAGAAACAAGGAAAGGATTGAGTGGCAAGCTGGAGGACTGCTTCAGAATCTGGTTTACAAATTGTATGATGAGTCGAACAAGGAGGTGGCAGTCACTCCTGAAATAGCCTCTAACATCAAGGTGTGTTTTACTCTGTTGCATTCTTGCATGTTATTGCTAATCCTGTTTTCTAGTGTCTCTTTTCTGAACCCCCTGGTGTTGAAATTGATTCATCTTGATTGTTTTTAAGGTTAACTGGACAGGAGAGGTAAATCTGAGAGCTTTAGTAAAGGGAAGACTGCCAGATGTACGGGTTCCTACAAAAGTGCAGGACCAGCGCTTCTACCAGGTCTCCTACCAGGACCAGAGTGTGTCTTTCTGCTTTACCATTGTGTAAGCCACATATGTTTGTTAAGCATGAGAGGTTATCCAATAGGAAGTCTTAATTTCACAATCACACATTTAAACATAATTTTTTGAGGAAAACTTGAAAGAAACCAAGAAGACCATGCCCAAAGTAAATTTCAGCATTTAAAAAAAACAAAAACCTGTAGGCTGAGCACGAAAAAACTACAGGGCTGATGGGAAGATCAATGGCACTATTTTCTAGGATCACCCTGGAAAGAATGGAGAAAATTAAAACAAACTGAGAATTGGGTGGGGATTCCCTCAAATGGGATGATAACATAAATATACAGTCGCAGGCTCGCAGCTGCATTGAATGGGTAGGAGCGAAGCATATTTATCCCCTGTCAAAGTCTAGAACAGCATGAAATTATCTGTATTAAACTTAGAACTTTTTTATAACTTATAACTTTAGCTTTGTCGTGCCAATAAATGCTGCAATAAAAAACAGCTCTAAAAAAGATAGCTCTAGGAAGTATCGTTCTAAATCATTTGTATCTTTTACCTAAAGGACTAAAGACATACATTCAGTTT